AGAAGGCTAGTCTGATCCAGAGTTCTTTCACTCATTAATTGCTAGTTAATTGAGTCAAAAGAAACTCAAAGAAGAAGAGCGTCTTTTAAAACCCTTATGTGCCGAGATTCATTGAGTTTGGTGCGAATGACATGAAGTTAGGTTAGACCAACTTTCTCATGTAACACGCCTGTTGTACAAGTCACAGAAACTTGTCTCGAGGAAGCAGTTCGTGGTTCTGAGTTTGGTGCAAATGATAGTACCTCAGGCTTCAGAAGATATTGAATGGAAAAAATTTGGTAAATAGTATTTTTGGCGGTATCAAATAAAAAGAAGCCGTACCTAGAAAACGTCGATAAAAGTGACAATTAACTAGCAATTAATGAGTGAAAATGGCCTGAAACTGTTAGCATTAAGTGTCTGTTTTGAGACCGTTTTTTGCCATTTAAGTAAATGTCCCTTTAGGGCATTAAAATATTCCCAGTTTTAATGGCAAAAAACAGTAAAATAATGGGGTCGAATGCCAAAAAAATACCATTACATGTCTATTAATGGCGTATTAAAAGGCATTTACTTGGCTATTTTTGACGTCCTGAGCTATTATTGGCCCCTTATTAAGACAGCATGGATTGGTAGTTATGTTGTTGCGTGCTTCAAAGATGCTGTGTTGGAACTTCGGAATCGTCAAGTCGTGTAATAACCTTGGACAAGTTAGTGCCTCGGACTACCCGTCTGATAGTACTCTGTACGTTATGGCGTACAATACAGTTCCTCCGATTAGTCTTCGTGGCTTTTCGGAAGATTTTTACACAATTAACAGGTCATTTTTTGACATACGGTTAACCGGCTGTTAATGGACAATCAAATGACATTTTTCGTCGACCTGGGAGTGGATGTAGTACTTTGCTTGCGTAATGCAGTCGATCCTTGTCTTTTTTCGGAAGTAAATTTACTGGTAAGCACTTGTTTCACTTGGTAAGTACTTGTCAAGTAAAACTGCAAGTGCTTTCACAAAGCACTTCATCATAAAGGAACCAAATATTGTAATCTTGAAAGAAGTACTTGTAAAAGTTTATGGCAAGTAAGTAGTTTTCGAAAATGCTTGTCAATTTTCCCAAGTACTTAGATCAAGTTCACTAGGGACAGGAGACAGAAGAAAGTAAGGCGTTTCTTGTAAACACAATTATCCCAAAAATGAAAATAGCTTTCCTTCGGCTTACTACCGAAAAAACAGTTAATACGTTAATATCGTAATCATTATTAGAAAACATGGCAAAGCTTTGCTCATTTACACAATTGTCATAGAAAAAACGATTAAGCAATATCGAATGCAATAATTTATGTCTAAAGTCGATTGCTGAAATAACTGAATAATCAATAAGTAAATTGAAAAATTATGCTCCCGTAAAGAATCCACACGAAGTGAACCAACAACATAGTTATATCTATTGTATATCTTTTGCCTACAAAGTAGAGAAACTTTTGTCGCACGTAGTGAGAATGCTCATCTTCTGTTAGAGCCTCGCTAACCTTTTATTTCATGACACGGAGTGTGTTTTCGAAACAAAACCCATCAGTTTTTCTAAATCAGAGCTGTATTCTGTAAGTTGTCGAGATGATTAGCATCGAATGTATTTGGCGTTATGAATCGAGGTTTCGCGTGGGATTTTCGTCTCATGAAGCGATGGTTTATATCCTATCCTATTCTCTACTCATCTCAATAATTTCCATCCCACTGGATTACACCCAAATAAGTTCATGAGACGAGACATTATAGAAGTAGAATTAGGAAAAACTTTCTGTAAAGACCTTTTGTTAAAGCACTAGTTTATGAAGGCATCTGGTATGGAGCATCATGTGATATCAATAAACTTATTTTATTTTTTCAATTATCTTATTTTTTCTCAAAGTGAATAGTATTTGTCAAAAGATCAATCAATCAAGAATACGGATACAATCCTCCTCACAGAATTATGTGGTAGCACGGAAGACGCTAACGCCTCATCTATATTTCTGCAGTTCACCTAGAAGACGCTAGTTTTTTGCAACATGGATCAAGAGTATAATTCCGTTCCATCTCATCCATTATTATTCAATTAGAAATCTTTCTTCGCATTCTGTCCAATCGTAATTGGACAGCCCTGTTGTGGATTGTGGATAAGTGTACAAAAACTGTGACCAATGTTCGGATCGAAAATGCAGACATAACAAACGAATATCACATTTATCTTGTGCGACAACGCTAATAATCGAGATAAGAAGAATAAGAAATATCCACATAAATAATTCAGTAAATTTTTTACTGAGTTTCGTTTTCTCCTATTCCCTCTCTTAAAAATACTGACGAGGGAACAACTGTCATTGTCAGGTCAAAGCTACAGAAATAAGAAATTAATTTAGGGTTTTTCTTGTAAATTCCTCTAACTTTGCAAAGAAAGGTCGTGTAGAGCTGGGAGATGTCCCATTTTAATCAACAATGTGCGGGCTACAATTATGCCTCATTAAGAAAGATTTTGGTTATTTTTTAGAGTTTCTGAAAAACGGGTCTCCAGGGGCCCGTATAGTGCTTCGACTATTGTATTCGAAATCAGCATCAGCGATAACCTATGCCTATGTGTGTTTCGACGAAAAAGCTCGGGAATACTTGGGGTCCTGACTACTCAATGGGCAACGTTTTTTTTATTTATAAAATAATAGTAAAGTACAGGGACAACAATTTTGATCAGTAGCATTAATGATTGTAGAGAGGAACCAATATCTTTTTCGTGATATGATGTAAAGTGTGTCTTGCTTCGTGCTCATCCTCCTTTTCTCTCTTTCCTCTTAAACAAATTTTTCTTTATTTTACCTCCTTTTGCCCATTTTTCATCCTCGTTCTCCTCTTTAGTAAAAACGACAAAGTTGGCTAGTTTTCGAACAGCATTTTATCAAGTGGGCGATACATAATAGCTATTATACAGTATAATTTAGAACTGAAAATCGGAAAAACCATTTTTTCAGAATATTTTAACAAGTTAAAGATAACAGCCTTTTCTGCTAGAGCAACGCACGTCCTTTTTTCCAACAGTAAAAACACATTCGACAACAGTTACAAAAATCAAATATGTAACATTGACTGTTTCTTTTGTAATTTTCTATTTTATAGAATATAAATGCGAATATACAGCAATAGAACGGTATATTGATAGAGCAAGTGACCAAATGGCACGAATGTTGAAATGCTTCATCAGTTCAGTAGTCAGGTTCACTTGTTCGTTTTGATTAACAGATACTGAAAATGTTCATTAACAATCATAAGTTTGTCAAAGTGAATAGTATACAGTACCTAATAGCAGTACTGATTCATCAAAATCAAAGATATCTACATACACGCACTGTTTTCAGAGCGGTCTGTATTCTTCCTCTGTAGTGTTCAATGAAAGAGAAAAACAAGATCAAATAATAGACCGCCATATGGTACGTTCCTATACCTAAGGTACCGTTTTGATAAAAATTAGCAAAATGAACTAGAAACTTTAAAGAGTCTTTTGTATAATCGGCACTGGTCAGAGACCTCATGTAAACATGAAAACATTCCAACAACTGCCTCTATGCTCATATTATAGAGCTGAATGTGTTCTTCAACAGAAAATCTCTCAGATTCCTCAAAATTCTTCTTGCCAAGTTATTAGCGATTTGTCGGTCAAATATGTAGCAAAAAAAACAAGTTTCCAGAGATATTTGTGAAAACAAGCAAACATATTGAACCTGTATATTTTTTACCAGGAAACATGCTATCCATTGTTTCCTGCTACCGAGATACAATATCAGAGTGATAACGGGACACTTCTGCAGCAGCAGCTTTGTCGAATAAGCTTGATTTTCACTAGTCCTAACTTTGTTGGTTTTATAAACAACCGTGAGAGCAATTTTTTCTTTGTGAAAACAACTCATTTTATATGAATACCAACGGCTGTTAAGATGTAGACATGTATCGATAGTGAACAATGTAAGAAAATAACGTACAGAACTATCAATTGATTAGAATTTATCTTCATCTAAATGATCTGCACAGTGTACAAAGAACTCGGAGAACATAAAGCCAAATTTAAAAGATATGTCTGGAATCAAAAAAATTACTCAACCTTGTTATATTATTTTCTGATCATTGGTTTTTGAGAATTATGTTTCTAACAACTGTTCTATTTTTTTTATCCGGTTGACTTTTTATTATCTTCCCCGCTGTACATTTTGCTACTTCCACATTTATAAGAAATATCAAAAATTGTTTCGTTCAAGTAATGTATTATACAATGGACAAATACAGTTGTGTAACTAGTAATCCTAGTCCAATTCAAACTACTTTTGAATCAACAAAATACTACTTCAGGCAATTCTTTCTATCGTTGCAGCATTCGATTGAGATGAAGCGATTGAAAAGTAACAAATAGTTTATTGTAAAAAAAACCTATATTAAGAAAATAACTATCTGGGAAACATGTACACTTTTCGTCCACGAACTTTTGTCGGACTATGCCATTTCCGTCTATCATTAATTTTGCTGTTTGGCCTCTTGGTATTTGCTAAGTGATTTGGAACGATTTTTCCGACAGGATCAATAACTTCCTCAAATGCTTCATTATAAGTTGTGGCGTCTTTTAATGCATTTAACATATGTGGTTGTGCTGAATTTCTATTGGGATAGATTATAGATGGTCGTGGAACTGTGTCTAAAATATTTTCTTTTTCCCATTTTTTCTCTGCTGATAACTGTGGAGATTTTAATCTAGTTGAAATTTCAACTACATTGCTATACTCATCGACGGCTTGTTGAATTTTTTGTGCATATTTATCCTGTGCGGCTTTTAATTCCGCATCTAGTTCATGTATTCGATGTACAATAGTTTTATTCCATTCTAAACGACGTCGAGTCTTTCCATTCATTGGAGTTGGTTGACCATCTTAAAGATAAAAACCATAGTCAAATTAGAGTACCTTAATGGTTTGTTTAAACTTAAAATTTGAAAGAAAAGATAAGATTGCAGCATTTGTCTCCCGATACAGACACAGATGCCTTAATAATATCGTCTTTGGCAGAAACTACAAAGCACAACACAATTAAAGGAAAAAGGACATTTTGTCATTAGGTTTACTCCTAGTAGATACGCTGATTGTCGCGGTAGCCTGTAACGTAACTTTACTTCACATCAATATTAAAAAGTTAAATAGAGGTTACCTAGATACGAATAATCGGGTAAATCGGTTAACGGGCCATATTGTGAATCATGCTTTGGTAATTTATTCCTGTAATAAAAAGAATTGTCAATATTTCGCATGTGAGATTGAGTCGTACATACTCAATACGCCAATAACGATTGGGTAGCAGATAAACACATGTTACTGAAAATGAACGACTCTGTATAAAACATAACCGACTTAGCATCTAAAGTATAAAAGGCATCAAATGAGTGTCGAACATAGAATCTCCAGTTTCTCTTATATACACGTGAATAGCAATATTTTAAGCTCATCTGTATGCTGAGGATCGTTTCCAAGTTGATAAGCCGCATCGTATTGTTAGCGAACTCACGCCAATGACTTGGTCAAAATGTAATGTGATTCGGACTAAATGACTGTTAGTAAGAAAGGTTCAATGACTCTCTAGACAGGTGACTAGTCATCTGCATTCACGTTACTTTCTTCTCGTGTTATTTCGAGCAATTTTGACGACCGTTCTTCTAGTTCTCTACTTGTGTCTCAACTTTCTCTTCCAAAGCTCTCCTCGGCGTAAATACTTTAGACTCCTGTAGTTTTTCAAAATTTATCAAGTCCTGTTTCTCTTTTTTATACTGTTCATTCGCACTACTCATCCTTACGCCTTCATCACTCTAAATATGTTCGCGTTCCATCTTCTGTTGATGGTTTTTCTCCGCAAACGGTACATTCTTCTTTTTTTATTCAACTATTACTGATGTGGAATAATCTTCCAGAGTCAGTTATTCGTCTTTCTTCTTTAATATCTTTCCAAACAGCTTTACTTCAGTATCTCTTCCAGTGAAGCGTTTGTCAGTTAAGAAAATCGTGTTCGCCTCTTTCTTTCTGCTTTTACCTGCATTTATATTTGTTCTTTTTTTTGGTCGTTTTTTTAAAAAGTTACTTCGCTACTTCTGGTTCTAACGTTAGTTGTCTTCTTTATTTTGTTCTTTTTTATTACTCGTTTGGTGTTGTTTGGCTTGAGCCATTGTTATTACAGATCGGCGACCTTTGATGAATCTCACTTTTCGTGAATAAAACAGTCTTAGTCTATTCATGGCTATCAAAAGATTTGTAGGAACTCATACCTATCAACAGATTTATACTGCTAACAAAAGTCGTTACTAACGATTTTTGAAAACCGAACGGAATAGCAGAGGAAAAAAAATCAGAGTCCACGATTTTTATCGTCAGGCGAGTCTGGCGTGAATAAAAACGCTCAATCATACATTTATAGTCCCATATCCATGCTCATCGCCAAATACTTCTCACTCATGCACATGCTTTTGAGTAATGAGCTTAATCGCAGATATCTGGAGTCGACTTCGATAAAAAATCTTGAAGTTTCCGAAACTGTTGCGGGAGAAGGGGCATAGTTAAGATGTTCCAGTAGTAGACGCTACAAAGAAATTGTTACAGTCAACGTAAAAAGTTCAAAACTTGCATTGATTGTGGTGTCTCAATTCAAAGTTGTGGTTCTACGAACGTCTCGCCATTATAACTAGTTTAATAAGATGGTAATAGACTAATCAGAGAATGCGTTGATGTGAAGCATTTATGCACCTGGAAAGGAAAAAACAATAAAACGGGTATAGTAAAAAATATAGGAAGGCAGAACGGTTGTAGTATATAAATGACTTCTTATTTATTTGCGTCATTATATATATATATTCATTCATGGACTAAATAAATAAACAAATTATGTATCCTCGTATTGTAATCACCTCATATTTCTTGCGTTTCATGCGTATTCGTCGAAAATATTTATTCTCTACCATTAATGCCTCTAATTCCTTTGTGTTGTGCAAAAGACATACATTCTACTGAGCCCTTGATACTTTTTCACATTTCTACTGCTCCAGGTTTGGCAGTAGCACCCATAACATTTTGAGAGTAACACATTCTTCAAAAACAATCTACTGACTCATGATGTAAATTACCACATCACGTCATCGACCGATGACGATGAAATTCCTTTTGATTTTTTAATCTATTCTCTTAAGTAAAATAACTATAACCGCCTCTATTCTTTTTGTTTTAGATGTTTATCTTTTGTTTGCCTATTTATCTTTAGTGGATAATTTGTTTTCTGTCTGTTTCTTTTCAAATACATATTTTCTTGTTTATTTTTTTATTATGGGTAAAACTAGTCCAATAGAAACAGAAAAACTAGTAACAGTAGATAAACCATCAAAAATACGTAATAAATCAGCAAAAAAGAAAAAGTCCAAAAAGTCGAAAAGCCACAAAAATCGTCATAAACGTTCACCGTCGAAAAGTCGTTCGAGAAGTCCAACGACAAAATCATCACCGCGTTCATCTATTTCGAAAGATCGTAGTCTATCTAAAGAGCGTCATTCAATAAATAAAACAAAAAAAAGCACAAATCGTAAACACGAGCAATCACAGCAACCAGTATCTTCGTCGTCAGTTCAACAACCACAACGTACGAGTAGTGTTCATCAACAAAAACAAAATAAAAAGCATATACGTGCACGTCATTATGAAGAAGAAGAGGATATTTTGTCCGATCGTTCACCACCCGCACGTTATCGTCGATCGAAATCACGTTCGAAATCACGATCACCAACTCATAACGACAATTATAGTGATCGTTCATCAAGAAGATCATCAAGAGGTCGTTCAAGTGATTTCGACAGAGACAGGTTAGTGACCCATCTGAATCGTTTTGCACATTTTCTCGCATAGTGACTATGTTGTTTATGAAATGATGACTTCAAGATAGGGACAAATGACTTATTTATTGTGATTATTCTATCTTTACTGATTCATTAACAGCTTTGTTCTTCGAACAGTTTTTTCTCCCATTGCAGTTTTTCTCTTAGCGGTTTTATTATGTTTTTTTTATTTTTAAGATCTGCTTCGCGAGATTCTGTGTCACGTCATCATGGTATTGTCGGTGGTGGAGGTTATAAAAATCAACTTCGACGAAGTACAAGTAGTATGAATAATATGTACCAACAAATGCCAAATAATACTGCAAATTTAATGAATATGAATCGTCGCTGGCCACATCAACAAATGAATCAACGTGGCGGTCGTAATATGAAAATGGGCGGCGGTCAATTTATGAATCATCAACAAATGATGAATAGTATGTCCATGAATTTAAAAAATAAACAACAAAATAACAAATATAAATTGAACAACATGAATTCAATGGGAATGAATCGTCAACAACAGCAATCGCTACTAGGTGGTTATCGACCAATGATGAATAAACAACAAAATTATCGAAATAATCAAATGTTTTATAGGTATGTAGTGTCTTATAGTTCTCAAGAATTACAGTGTTTATGTACTACGGAAACGGTTTATTCTTTACGGTGGTTTTATTTAATAGATTGAATAGGCTATCTGTAGCAATTTTCAGTCAGCTGTAGTCATTGAACTCACTCTTTAGCATCGAAAATGATCGTATCAGTTTATTACAGCTTTTCATCTTTTCTTACGTTCAATCATGGAATTACTTTGTTTTGTGCTATAGCATGAATAACGCAAACAATATGGCAAATATGATCCAAAATATGAATCAGTTGATGAATCAACAGCAACAACAACAACAACAGCAACAACAAAATGGCGGTGCAGGAATGGTGCGATATCAGAATCCAAATAATCCTAATAATCGATTTTATCAACAGTTTCAAGATAACTATAAGAAAATAATTAATGGTGAAAAAGTTAGTAATTTATACCAGGCATCATTTCCCGTACAACATATACCACGTGAAATGAGATTTAACTTTCGCTTACTTGGACGAAATATATTTACAGCATCCGATGAAGAAGAAGAAGCAGCTGCGTCTGAAAAGAAAACGAAAAGTAAAAAAGGTATTGTCCTTCTGTGCATGGAAGAGTTTATGCATGTTGGTAGACTTAAGAAATACGTTCAACGTTATCTGTTCTACGAGAAAATGATTTGTTCACTGAATAATGCCATTTAGACTCTAACGCTGTATAACTTTTTTCTACTTAGTTGATCTTTTGCTTTAGAACGAGTTAGTGATGATGAAAATCCAAAAGAAGAAAGTGAAGACGAACGAAAGAAACGTCGCGAAGAAGAAGAAGAAGCGCAACAAGCTGCTGTTGCAGCTGGAAAAAAGACGCCAATGATTGTCGCATCAGCATCTTCACCCGTATTGAATACAACAAAAAAACATCATAAGAAACATCAAATGAAACATTCAAAATCACAACATCAGCAACAGACAATATCACCACCTGTAGTACCACCTGATTTTATGCTAGATCCAAATTTAGATATGAATTTAATGTTAAATTTGATGAATGCCGAAAATAATAATATATTAATGAATCAAATGAATCCAAAATGTGAACGTATTAAAAAACAAGAGAAAAAAGTACAAAAATTTAAAAATTATGCACGATTTCAACAGACTCATTCAGTGGGAAGTACAGCAACAAATCCATCTAATCCGGAAGAAGTTGAGAAGAAAATACATGGTCTAGCCAGAAGATTGGTAAGTGACTCAATAACCTTAATATTACGCGTTATTCATTATTTCCCACTTGAGAATCGATGATATGATGATAAATTTAGATAGGGACATATGATTACTTGTGATTACTTATATCTAACCTGATCATCGACGATAGCTCGTTTTCTATATCAGATACATTTCATCAAATATCATTAGTAGAACTTGAGGCAACTTCGTCACGTATTATGAGGAGTTCCTGCGGAAACATGATGAATTCTCAATAAAAAACTATTTTTCACATAAAATAGTGCTAGAATGAATAGTATATTCAGAGTTAAGAAGTCAACGGTTTTCGCAGCACAACAGATTACTTTTTTCTATTTAATCTATCTACCACCGTACTATCCCATCAATAGTTACAAAGTGTTATGTTATAGCAAATGAAAACTATTGGTTTACAAGAAGATTATGAATTACTTGGAATTAAACGTTCTAGTAGTTCGAGTTCAAAATCACATTCGTCGGATTCAGACACAGATGCAAGTAAGAAATCGAAAGAAAATGGTGAAGATAAAGAGTTATATAGTGATATTAGTTCAAATTCGGAAAAACGTCGCGAAAGAAAATTGAAGAAATTGAAAAAGAAGAAGGTAAATAAAAATACTAAATTTATTATTATTATAATTTAATATTAAATTTATTTTTATTAACATTACCCTATTCTTTTACCTAGACGAATGTTGGTGGATCACCATTGTCGAGTAGTGATAAAGAACGTTCGGATAATGATAGTGATGGCAGTATGTTAAATTTAAATGAAGAACTTAAATCGATTGGGTATTATGTTAAAGATCGTGAAAGAATGTTAAGTGAAATGTTTCGATGTGTACGTGGTACAAAACTTCAAGCTATGCTACCTGAAGTATTAAAGGTAAGAATAATTAATAATGTCTGTATTACTCACTTGAATTTTTTAATGCTTCGTATACGCATGCTGGTAGATTGAGTCACTTAATGGCTTTTCTAATGTAGTATATGTTCGTTTATTCTCTCCAACAGCAACTTATAACTCTCAGTACACAGATTAGATGATGTAATCTTTAAAAGATCAAATTGTTTGAATTATATGAACTCGACATTTTGACTTCACTCTGTGTCACGTCCACATGGTATAGGATCGAGATGTTCTCTAACTGAACGACGATCTAATCGTAAGTGAAATTTTTAATGAAAAACCGTTGTCTTCATTGATAGGTTAGAAGTATAACTTTTAAGATAGCACTTTGAAAAGCGTATGGTACTGTTAGAGTTGAGCGATAGTGTTTACAAGTAATGCCCTCTCATATAGTTAGCAATTGCCTTTGGGTTTGGTTATAGTGCACAGATACTCAGTTGTTTAACAAGATAGATGGAATCACTAGGTTTTGCTTATGATTTGAAGTGTCATGTCACTTCAAAAACGTGCTGTTTATTAGTTTCGTGATCTTTAAAATCGTAAAAAATCATAAAGTCATTCGTATAGCAAGCACATTTGATAACGGATGCTTGTTTTAGATGAAACACGAGAAAAATATCCTTCATTCTATTTTACATAGATATTGTCATTTCATATCAATCATTATTAATGCTGCCATTGTTATTATTCTTATTATCACATATTATCATTATTCGATAAAAATAGGTTATAATACATTAAATAACCGATTTTATTTTAGAGTCAATAGAAAATGTTTACTCTTGTTTTATTTTAGTATTTTGAATAGTTTCATTTTTTTTGAGTTTGCCTCTTTAATAACTAGACTTGAGTTAATAAATAAATATGTGTGTGCCACCTTTCAGATAAACATATCTGTATACATAATCTATTTGTTGTATGTTAACATACATCCTTGTTGTTCGTATTGTCATGTCCAAACATTTGTTATTTATAATGGACATAGGTAAGTAACGATGATTCGAAGCGTCAGAATTTAGACCTTGGACTTAATATTACAAAATTATGCTAATTTCATTACAACATCTTTAAATTGGAGAATTATTGAATCTATACTTGAACATTTTTCGTATTGTAGAATCGTTTATTAGACGAAATCAAAGCAAAATGTTTAGATCAACTGGATATTATGTCAAAAAAGCGTATACGAGCAATTTTGCATGGTCTGTTAATCTCTCAAAAATGTTCTATTGTACGTTATCACTTTCTTCTATTTTCAGCTCAACAAATGTCATCGTCAAGTGGAACAGAAGATAGTACAGACGAAGAAGACAAAGATGTTTATACTTGTAAGAATATGTTTTTAGTTTATTGACAAAAAAAAGATTTATACATTAATTAAATATCCCTTTTAAGTATTTGAGGTTGTTCGAAGAACTAATACTTCTTCCTTTCTTTAATTAAAGATATTAAGCAGCGTGGCTAGACTGGCAAATGGCTTAGCAACGTACTTCAAAGGCACGGTGTTCGAATCTTAATGATGTCGATCATTTAATAGTCTCGTTAACTTTTAGAACGTTGCGAAGGCTGCCTCGCTGTTCGACTAGTCACGAATCTAGAGTTTAAAAAAATCTAAAGAAAACAGTTTAATAGTTCGAAGACTCTTTCCACAATGCTGTAAATCATTGATAATAAGATAGAGTATTCATCATAAAAGTGTACTATGTCATCTAATCAAATGCTTGCAATGATGTATACAATTCTTCACATTAATCAGATAACATAATGATGTGAAACAATCATGCAATTTTAATCTGAGCAAATCATTTGATAACATTTTTTCGTATAGTCAAATGGAATATTTAAAAGTATCTCAGTTACGATTTAAACTTTTGTTATTTTCCTTTTTCAGTATATCCTCATTTACGAACATCGATCAATCCAGCATTGGAGTCTCCCATAGACAAAATGATACCGCCTGTTGGTACCCCGGTCTCTTCTGATGTTGAGAAAAAGTAAAAATATAAAAAAAAATCACTTCTAGTTCTATATGAACTTATTTGTTTTCCATAGACCTTACACTACAACCAGTAAATTTCGTCCCATTCAAATGCGTGCGATTAATAGTAACACAGAAACAAATATAAAAGACGAACCCGAAGAACATATGTCAACAAATGTTCGAAATAGTTCATCAACACCAGTTAATAATTTATCAACCGAAATGGCTGTCGAATGTATACGCGGTGAAGAAGATATTAACGACTACTATGAAGGATTTAAAAAGATAAAAAAACTAGCAAATTTGAGGCGTATGGAAAAAGATGAGGGTATTCTGGATGTAACAGCATTTGAACCAAGCGGAAAATTCTTGAATCCGCATGGTAAACAACCAAAATTTGAATTTAAACCAATCACGGGACTTGGCCAACAACAACATCTAACAAAAAAACTCTTGAGTCAAAAAGAAAATGATATTAGTCGAGAATTAGATGATATGATGACAAATGAAGGTTTTACATTACCCGGTCAACGTCCAGCATCTGTAGCTGAATTAAAACAACAACAACGAATATTATTACCACATTTACCGCCTCGTCAGTATACAAAAGTGGTACAACCACCGAAAAAAGGTTCATTGGGCGATTTATTGAAACAGAAAAAAGATAAAAATAGAAGTCCATCACCAGCAGATCGTAAAAGTCGCCAATCAAGATCAAGTTCAACGAGTTCAATTGGTAGTAGAGGATCATCAGTACATTCAAATTTATCATTTGGTTCATATTTATCCGGTGTAGATGAAACAGATAAATTATCAGTTTATTCAGGCAATTATTCTTATTGTGTAAGTTTGATGAGAACTACTTTAATTTTTTTCGTGAAAAATTATCTGACAACTCTGCTAGTGATAGAGAGAAGAATAGTAGTTGACTAAGCGACTTGTCTGACATCTAATCTCTTCAGTGCTTTATTGATATTTATGTTTATTTTTTCTCAGAGTTCCTGCAATGGTAGTCCACATCATGATAATCAGAAAAGATCGTCGAATGATATAGATAAATCAACCGTTAATAATTATGAGAATACAACAACAACAACAACAACAACAACAACTGAAGCACATATTGAAGATTTTTCCGATATTACTGATTTATCTCAAATATTAGATTTAAATGAAGAAGATGAACTATTATTGTTACAACTTGAAGTTGAACAAGAAGAACGAAATACACGAAAAGAAGAGAAAAGACGTAAAAAAGAGGAGAAAAAATTGAAAAAGAAAAATAAAATTGAAAAGAAAAAGTCAGTACAAATTCAATTGAATTCTGCTAGTGAATTGATAACTACACAATCGAGTTCAAATACTAGTATCGATGTTGATATTGAACAAACGATGAATGATTTATTAGTAGATGTTCTCGCACTAGAAGACGGTTGTCAACAAGATAACAATGATAATCAGAATTTTGATTCTTTGTGTCGTCTCAAAGAAGAATCATTAGATGATTTAAATTTTGATGATGAAACAAGTTATAGTGATCGATTACTTGAACATACCGTTACAGAAGTGAATGATAGTCATCCAAATATAAATGTGATATCGGCAGTAAAAGAAGAAGAATTCAATAACAGTGATGAACATGACGCTGATAACAATAATATACATGGAATTAAGCGTCCTATAGAGTTTGATAAAGATGATCAGAATACGGAGGAAGAAGACAGGAAGAAAAAAAATAGGTTAGACTAAGTTTAAGTTCCTGTAATTGTTTAACGAAGATCATCCCTATTTTTTGTTGTGTAAGATTAATTGTTTATCGGAATTTTTGTTTTCGTTTGTTTTTCTTCTATTTTTGCATTCAAGTCACTAGACCTCATTGTTTCTCTATTAGTTCATTGATAGTTTTTAGCTATAGAGTTTGCTGCCATTTTCGGTCTTGAATTCCTGTGCTTGATCCTTTTTATATGTTGAAGTGAAAAAGAGCAACTAAAAAAATCCGACTTCATTTCTCGTTTCTTATGTAATTCAGTTTTGTTGTTTTACACGTGTGCGTCGTTGGTGTTTGTTTACTTTTTTGTGTTTTTCTATTATATATCTATATTTGTATATAAAAAAGATCTACTTAGCAAGATTTGGGCTTTAACTGTACAATATGAAAAAAGACATATTATACTATTATTATATTGAGAATTGTGAATCATACATTAGAATTAGAGATTGATTTTATTTGAAAGCATCTTATTATTACAAAACAACCGACAGATAAAACCGTGAAACTTAGTCGAAAATTTTACAAATAATACTTTTGTTACTTTCTTTTTATTAAATGTCGTGTTACAAAGCAAGAAAATGCAGAAATGTTTCTGCAACAGAAAATAATTGAATTGTGGCTATTAAAAAATCAACAACAACGAAAACTTTGAAAGTTTAGCTGATGTTGTCACTATTCATTGTTCTTAACGACCTAATAAAATTCCTTCATTTGGTAGATCTCGACGACCTAATAACACGGCCTCTGCGGGTACGCGTCGTTTACCAAGCAAAATTGCTTCGCTCGGTAAGCGTGCACGTTTGTCTAGCATAATTCCGTCGGGGAATTTCCATGAATTATAATTATTATCCATTGATCCATCGTCTAGTTTGTCATCCATATGAAATAAATCAAATGGATGATATCTGTCGTCTTCCATGCCATCAAATGAATGACGTCCATTGGTACGTATGGCTGCACTAGATGTGAAGATGATGAGCATACCTTAAAAAATAAAATTTTTGTTATGGTTAACTAGACGGCGAAATACTCCACGAAAGATCTTTTAAAACTGCATCGTCACTGGCAAGAAGCAAATCTTTTTTTTCTGTAGGGATCGTTTCTGCATGCAAAGTATAGTATGGCACAGCTGGTGACTGTCCGTTTCACAGTAATCGAGCAAGCACGCTTTTTCACATCACACCGGAAAATTGTATCATGCAGACGAACGCGTTTTTCTTTCATTTTTGAAAAAAAAGGCGTTCGAACGTGTCTGAACGTACTTTTCTCAGATCGAGCCGAGAAAAAGTGCGTGTAGACGCTCCTCGATTCTAAGACGTATTCAAACGCTTACTTTTTAGAATCCAAGAAGCGTCACGATTTCGTATGTTCTTCTTGATTTTTTGTGGCTTCTTGAAACAAGAAGTTTCAATAGATTATACGGCAAAACGTTTATCTTGACGATAGGGTTAATTCTTTTGTTCTGAATCTTAAGTGACGAAACGTCTTATTTCTATCATTTACATGAAAGATTCTATTCTGATTGATACTTAAAGCACTAAACTCCAGCTGAAAAACGACGATACTTACTTAGAGCAAGAAGAACTGTACAAATTGCTTGAACCGAAAACATTTTTTGTGACGAAAACGTAGTTTTACTAATGTTAAATAAGGTTTATATATCTAAAATATAAAATGGCGATAAAAAAAAGCAGACAGAAACGGACAACAGTTAAATATCGTTCGACTTTAGTTAACTTGAGTACATATTTTTCTTACTGCCAGTCGTTATCACTTGCTCAATCAAGAAATATTGTCCAAAACGGCATTTAGGCAATTATAATCCATGTAACGAATGGGAAGTGTTTATTCTAACGGGTGCGGCATAAAGACCGGACCATTTAGTATTTTCTATTTTGTTCCCTTAGGATTCTAAGGCTAGTGGTTTTTTTTCAAAAGATACGCCACCAAATACTCTACAAAGCCATACCTAATTTTAATTTCGGCACTTCAATCAAGGAAACTACTCAAATTATATGAAAGTCGGAAAAAATGAAAACTTTGTAAATTTGATATTTTTTTCTCCTATTATTTTTCTAAAAAAGTGTAGCAAAAGTGAGAACTCAGTACTTTTTGTACTTTTGAATGCGCTCTTTCTCGTGGGCTGTAAAAAACTTTTTTAGAACAGCAGGTATGCTGAAGAACGAAGCTTCAAAAATATGTCAAAAATGTCAAAGCTCCGCCTCCAGCAATGTGCTTAAGTAAGAAACGGAAAACATGATCGAAGTTTTGATCTTGGAGTTAGGTAGAAAAGAGGAATTATTTCTGATCAGAACAAAACAAAGCCGATCGAAAAATCTTTTGTTTTGATGGAGTTATGAGACTTTCACTGGAAGCACTGCTATATCCAGAATTTAAAAGTTAATGAAAAAATGTGTGACAACCGACAGAAAAGTTATTATTTCTCCATATGTTTTCATGTGAAAAAATTTGAAGCGTAGCTAAAAGATGAAGCGAACTCAGGGCTACAAATTGGCTAATTCAATTTTTCTTACTTTCAAATCGTTAACACAAGAAATCGTTTTTGAGTTTAGAAAGTTTTCATGTTTTTTGCCTTTCGTATAATTTGAGTAGTCTCCCTGATTGAAGTTCTGAAATTAAAATTTAGGTATGGCTTTGTAGAGTATTTCGCGGCGCATCTTTTGAAAAAACACTAACCTTAGAATCCTAAGAGAATAAAATAGAAAATACTAAATGGTCCGCTCTTTATACCGCATCCGTTACTTCTCATGTATTGTTTGTTTATTATCGTTTAAGAGTGAATGTTCAAGCTCCGTTATTTTTCAAGTGAAAGACGAAACAAGGCAAAATTAGGCCGTTTTATCTTGTCCGATGTGGCAATACTCATTATTCGAGCAAGATCTCTACTGCTCTCTACTGCTTAAATCTCAAAAAAAATTGATACTTCTTGAGTAACATGTCTCTGAGTCACATATTTTTCAAGTCAAGTAATTTCATGGATGCAGCTTTTATGCCATGTATCGAGCTCAGTATTATTGCAGGCAGTATTAGCTGCGAGTGATCGATCTTTTAAGCACTCACAAATGTGACTGTTTTTGACTGTTAAAATAAAGAGATAACAGTTATATATGAAGTTACTACTGAGAAAGCGGATAAAACAATACACAGCACAGTAGAACCCTTCTCTTTCTCCTGCACATGCTAAACTTAAATTTTCTTCAGATGCACATACAGTTATTCTATCAACGGGTTATACAAAGAAAATGTCCGTTTAATCCGTTATTTTGTATGTTGCTTCCTTTCTGAGATAATTAAAATTTAAAATTCGTAGTTTTTCTAAACAAAAAGTTTTTGTTGTTCAAATTTTTTTAAATGAGATGAATTTGTCAATTCACTTTCGTCATATATAAATTATTTATGTTTAGTTGAAGAAAAGAAAGACTTTTCTGAAAATTTTGAAAATCACCAAGAATATTTGGAAGTGGAATCAGCGCGTAAAATACACTCACGAGGAAACGTTTTTAAGTGCCCTTTCGCTTTCTCAACGAAACCTAGTGGGTTATAGGTTATCGATGATGCTGATTCCGAATATGAATATGAGAGCCGCTCTTAGGGCTTCGAAGACCAAGTTTTCTGGAAAAACAGTTTTTTAGAAACTCTGAAAAACAATCAAAGCTTTTCTTAATAAGCCATGCTTATAGTCCGCACATTTCTGATTAAAAGGAGGTCTCTCCCAACTTTACGTGACCTTTCTTTGCAAAGTTATAGAATTTACAAGAAAAGCCCTAAATATTCATTGTCAACTCAAAGGTACAGAAATAAGAAGAAATTAATTTAGGGCTTTTCTTGTAAATTCTATAACTTTGCAAAGAAAGGCCATGTAGAGTTGGAAGAGGTATTATTTTAATCAGAAATGTGCGGCCTACAAGCATGGCTCATTAAGAAAAGCTTTGGTTGTTTTTCAGAGTTTCTAAAAAACTGTTTTTCCAGAAAACCTAGTCTTCGAAGCCCTAAGAGCAGCTCTCATATTCATATTCGGAATCAGCATCATCGATAACCTATAACCCACTAGGTTTCGTTGAAAAAGCGAGGGGCACTTAAAAACCTTCCCCCGTCAGATTAATTAAAACAGATAAAACATGCTCACTTAAATAGTAAAAACCCACCAAATTTATTGCTTGAACGCGTCAGGAAATACGATAAATTGTTGACTTTCCTGCAGAAGTCGACAGAGAAGAAAGCATCATATCAGTCAAGGAAAACTTGAAAAAATCTTAGTTAAACAGGCGATATTACTCGATCTGATCAGAAGGATACTATTCTATTTTTACTACAGGTAATAAACGACATCACTTTAAAATAAATTACTGATACATAAGTAGTCGAAAGCTAACTGAGCTAGCTCGATTTAGTTGATGAGCGCTTAAACAAATTAATGTCGATACCAGATCTATTTTTGTTGGCCAACATCTCCCCAACATATGTTCGAGTAGTTAAGCATACTCGTGCTACTATAAGAATGTATGTATGTATGTATTTCATCTAATTTACCCCTTAGAAACTGTTTATATAAGACTAATAAGTGATAGATAGATTGAAATAGTCTGTTGTTGCAGTTATATCTTAATCTGATAGTTAAACTTACCTTAATTATTTCTTTTCTTTTATTGTCTATTTCTTTTTAGATATTTTAGATCTTGGCAAAATGAAAGCGAGTTGTGTTGTTATGATAAACGATCGATAGTTTAAAAAAATTTGCGCATGTTCGAACTGATCAAAGTTTGCCTCTCTGGTCTTCAATTTATAAAACAGACATGCGCTATCTCTCTCATTTCCACACAGAAAAACGACGAACAACTTATTTTCGAAAGAGAGTACTAATGTAGTTAATGTTTTATAGTAAATGACAATAGAACTAATAAAAAAAAGGAGAGAAATCAGCTTATTTTAACCAGACTTTCTTTTCTTTTCATTCTTACCTACTACAGTTAATTGTATTACAGAGAACTTCAAGAGCTATCCAAATCACTATTCAGATCTGGCCTAGCCACTCAGCTTCATCGAGAAAATTCAAAAATACAGTGGTTCTATAATTTTTTCCAGTACTGTTTATATAAAACGAATTTTAGTAAAACAAATAATCTTAAAAAAGATTTTTTCAACCGTGCAAGACTTTTCCAACAGATATGGTTGGTCAAGCGTTTGGATATGTCGATATCTTCTCAATTAAACATGGAGAAAAAAGATTAAGTACTTAGGAAAAACAACCAAGAAA